AGAGAATTGATAATATCTAAAATAACAAAATACAATTACCCTATTTTGAAAATTAAACCTTTCAGTCTTAGCAATTATTCCATCTTACAACTCCTACTTCATGTTTGAAAACACTCTACTAACTATTTGACCGCCCTCAACTTCATAGAAGATGTCTTCTGCTCTAAATGTAAAATTGTTCATGGCTTATTAATTTTTTATTGTTTGATAAATATATGTGAGAGTTGTTAACATTCCCTTCATTAAAGACCCCTCCAAAGACTTTAAACAATACTATCCAAACACTTAAGAATATTATTCATCCAAATAGTTGCAAACATCACTATTTTGGACTTCCTCAAATACAGTAAGAAACTCTTAAGAAATAAGCAATCCATCTAAAGAAACACGTGGAGCCAAGTCAATATATTTTAAAATAATCTTTTCAGTATCATCTATCAAATTGTACAACTTCAATCCATCAGATTAATTTAGATAGGTTTCATTTTGCCATTATATGAACATCTCTCTATATAAAAATAAATTCCCACTTCTAAACGACAAATCAGCTATTAATTTATATAATAATTATGTTGATTAGTAAAGATTCAAAAAACTTTGACTTGAGAATATTACTATGCATGAATACACTAAATATATAATAAGGAGCATTAATGAAAGTACTATAGACTTTACTTTAGATGTACGAATTAGTTCTTTTCTTTTGGGTTTCCTAAAATGTATATTTTCAATTTTAGTATCAACATGCTATTTCTCAGCTTACTCATCCAATTCGTAAGTATTTATTAAATCATTATCTGAAATAATACCCAAAATTAAACTCTTTTGATTTTCGATTTCCCTCTTCAAACTTTATTCTTATATATGTGTTACAATTTCCATTATAGTATCGCATTGTAAAGCCAGCACCAATCTTGAGTAATAAATTAAAATACAAAGTAAGCAACATACTATTAAAAATGAAATCCAAATTGCCCACCATTTATTAACTATTTATTCGCTATTGCTTTTCGAAAAGGTTAATATTTCTAATGAAATCTATTCTAAATTTGATTCCAAAATAAAATAATTTGAAAACTAGAAAATTTAACAGGGACAACCCTTTGAAGATCTTCTTTGATCCAGTATATTTTTCTAGTCATACTAATAACTTATTAATTGATGTATAAATTCCCTGAATGTAATATTTTTAGAATAAACTGATTCATCAGTTGTACCCATAAAGAAGGTATCTGTATATAAATCCTTAAAAAACCCACTCAGATCTTTTTCCAATAACGATGAATACGAATTCTGCTATAGTTCATTATAGTCCATGTCTATTCCCTAATATAGAGGCTCTAATAAATCTAATTATTCTTAAAAAGTAATTTTATTAGAGGCATATAATCCTTGATAATAATTAATTTAAGCTCTGACACCTAAGTATTTACCATAAGGTGCCAAGATGTTAGCTTAAAAAGATAGCATTTCAATACTTTGAATTTTGTTCAGAAGATCATCCTTTAGAATTGAAAGTATGATTATAGAGAAAATAAAACACACAATCAAAGTTAAAAGTAAAGAAAATAATAAGACTTTTTATTGCTTTGAATTAAAACTCGAATAAAATCTTTCTATTGATTCTAATCTCTTTATAAACGATGGTTTTCTTGTAGAATTTAAACTTGTTTCTGAATTCAAATCCAAAATAGCATCTAGCTAATGTTAGTTTTAAGATCTAATCTAATTACTCGAATTTTAGCCCTAAGATGCCAAAGGAGATTATGGCGATCCATAACAAAAAAAATCTTATTGCTGTAAGGCATTCTTACTTTGTACTGACTTGATTAATTGCGGTTACTAATCATTTAAATTTGATTTGCTGATATCATTTGGATTTAGTTACTCTTTTTAAGGTTTTCCTTAAAACTCTACATTTTTAGTAACTTATTTAATTATCTTAGTACCTTCTTACACTTAAAATTCAGGTTCTTACTCAGAATTATCATCTTAAAGGGAGAGGATTAAGGAATCAATATCAAAGACTGCTGATTCATTGCTGTTTCTAATTTACAAAAGTGATTTAGGTTTTCTACTATATTGAGAAGAATCAATTTAATAAGCGGATTCGATTTCAATGATGTAATAAAAGAACCCAAACACGTTTCTCTTCATTACATATAAATCTACCATGTAATCTTTAACCAATTTACTATTCTACCAAACTTTAGATAATAAGTGATTTCCTTATAAAGTAGATTTAGTTATCACGTCTATAGAATCATTGGAAGATAGATCAAGAAATGAAATCCTTATGTTATCAAACTTTTATTCTTCAAAATCAGTTTCAATTAATCTATTAAAATTAGGGACTATTTAATTTATTTCTAATTCGTAAAATTAATAGAAGTTATTAACACTTGAAATTTACTCAACTGTGAACCCAAGCTTTCTTAAACACATTAAAGTCATTCCTGAAAGAAACCCATTTACATTTACTAGCAAGTATGCTTTTTAATCTAGAACATCTTGAATCACAGCACCAAAAACAATTTTGTTATCACTTAAAAGAGTTATTGTGTCAAAACTTTATTCCATTTATTTAGCTAAACCATTATCTTACTAAATAAATGTCAAACTCAAACTTCTATAAAATCTTGCTTAACCAGTCTATACAAATCTTTGAACCAAAATCGGATGGGCATCTTTTATAAAATCAGGTAATACATCATAGAAATTTAATTTATTCTCATCATTTGATTTATTAATTATTTTTAAAAAATTACTAGAATATTACTTGATTACTAAATTCTATAAATCATCTTGTAATTACAATAATATGTATCCAATTTTGTCAGAGTAAAAATCTAATGTTTGGTTTCTATATATTAATTTTTCATGTTGAATGTTATTAATTTATTTAAATTTTAGGGCTTTCAAATAACTATTGTAAATCTTAGAATAAAAGAATATTATTAAGTGCCGCAGTTTTACACTAGAGTATTGATTGTAATTCTTTAATAGTACATCTTCAATGTTATTAACTTTTTTAGAGAATTTTTTTATTGAGTTAAAAATATGATTGCCCTTTAGATTTTCTGAATTTAATAAGTAGTAATAGAATTCAGTTTTCATTTTAATCAAACTAATTATCTTCTAAATTACTGTGTTCAAATCGAATTCGTTAATTAAGTAGTAGAAAATGCAATCAGACATTTGATGTTATTATGGATTACATACATAGGAACTAAAATTTTCATTCAAATTCATTTAAGCTTAGGTTATTCTGTATTTAATTTTAATAATCTCAAGATTTGATATCTAATAATTTTTGCTTTAAACTTCATACTTCTCACCCTTTTTCTATTGGTTATTAATAATCTCCTAAATTTAAGAATCAATCAAGCTTTTCTTACCTCTTCTTTCTGAGATAAGCGGCTTTTCTTATGAAATCACTCGCCTTCGATGGTAATCGTTAGCTTAAAATAAAATTTTATTATAATTTTTGATAGCCATCAAAATGAAACCAGATCTCATAAAGAGAGTGGCTTAAACAACTTCATAAAAAGCAGCATCAACTTTATTTTTATTTTAATTAGAATAAATAAGTTTTTTAATGTGATTAATTTTGGTATAAACAAAGGAGTTGAAAATTGGTTCTGTTATGATATTTGTTTGAGAAGGATTCAAGACCTTCTATATCAATTCTTTGCATAAGCATGTCATATCTTTGCACTTAAGTTTGTGTTGTATCCAAATTATAGTATATTGTATAGGAAGAATCTCATCTTAATAGCAATTATTAGATATCTTCATAAGTTGATGGACATAATATTTTAAGTTTGTTGAGTTTTCAAGGAATAAGGAATAAATACTATTATATTAAAATTGACGATCGGCATAGATTACCACACTTGTGAACAATGGCCAAATCAAAATTGCATTATTTGAAAGATCAATTATTTAAAAGAGAGAATACATAAGGATAATTGAATTAATGATGTAAAGGAGGTATCTTTGATGTTGAAAGATGTACCCTTGGTAATGCAATTAATTTAAAATTGTCAAAATTGCAATGCAAATTATAAGAAATTATTGCACATAATTCACCGCAATATTTTGACCTGCAATTCCAAAAATTATAATTTATGACACTTGCAAAGCATATATGACAAAATCAATTGTTGACATCAGAAATTATTCAAAAGCTAAAATTTATAAAGTTGTAGATTTTCTACAAATAAAAATTAATGATATTGATTCAGCTTCCAAAAGCAAAAATATAAAAATGCAAAAAACCAATAAAGCTATATAGTTAGATTCTTAGTTTTAAATATGTTACAATGCTCTACTAATAGCACAAACAACAAGTGTTTGAAGAGGATAATGTAATACAGCATGAAATAACTGTTAGTAAAATGATATAATATTAATTAGTATCATTTACAATTGCGTAGTTTTATTCCATCTTTTCGCATATCTTAAATGTTAATTGTTAATATTTAGATAAGTTACGAATTTCATTATTAGTATCAATAAAACTATAATGTAAGGTGTGGCAAATAACATTTCATCAGTCGAATATCTAAGTAAAATTATCTCAGGTCTAAGTATATGGAGTATCTTCTTGCTTTAACTTATTTCATCAATGTTTTTCTAATAAAACTCATAGGTTTAATATTAGAGGTAAAATATGGTCTAGCTCATACTCAATATGAATAGAAATATTTTAATGGGTTCATAACAATAAAACTAATCGTTAATTTATAACATAGCTCTGACGAATTTGTTGATGAATTGCGTGTCTTCTTGTTTTTTCAATTGCTACATCGTTTTAATTTGTAAGCTCCAAATAATTAAATTAATTAGAATAAAACTTTTGACAATTAATAAATGTACCATAGAATAGATGGTTTGGTGTTTTAATCCTTTTGTTAATTAGTTTAGATAGAGAAGAATGATATAATATATCTATTTAAATTTTCAGTAGGAATGCAAATTATATTTAAGATTAATATTCACATCTTCTCTGTTACATATGTCTCAATTAATTGTTAAAATAAATTCTTTACACCTTCTCCTGTTTTGGCAGAAGTTTCATAGAATAACATACCATTCTACTTTGCAAAATCAACAGCCATAGCTTTTGACACTTTTCTTTCCGATTCCAAGCAATCGCACTTATTGCCCACTAAAGCCAGAGCCATTCCTCAATTATGGAAGTCATTCTTACCATCCTTTTATATCTTTTCTTCCAATTCTTTCAACCAAATTGAAACCGATTAAAAGGTTTCACTTTGTGTAATGTCATACACAATTATAGCTATATTTGCATCTCTATAATACAGGGAAAGTAGAGATCTAAATTTCTCTTCCCCTGCAGTATCCCACAAATGAATCTTTAAGTTTTAACCTATCCATAATTAATCTATTTCAAATACCTTTCACTGTTAATTCAACGCTATTATACACACCACCAATTGTAATTTCATATTCTGATTGAAACTATTATATTTTAATGGGTTTATATACCTTATCAAAACAGAATCTCGTTGCAATTGAACTCTTTCCTACAGCCTTATCCCCAAGCATTACAACTTTGATATCCTTTTTTTATCCAGGATTATTTGATTTTGTTTTGATTCCTGTCTTGGGTTGATTCTTTGGTTAATTATCTCCACAACACATAAATATTTTATGAAATTTATATAATTCTTAAATTCATTACTATATCCCTGAAGCATTTCCCTTTTATCAATATAGGAGTCGATCCACAATGATGTCGAACTGTTTTAAATTCTCAAGTGGACTCCTCAATCAACTAAGAATTAGATTTTTGAGAAATAAATTCAATTATTCTGTCACTAGATGAATGCATTAAGATTATTAGTTTTATCAAATTAACAATACATCATATTACGACTTATTCACATTTATGCTTATATTTATTATAAATTTGATAAAATAATTTTCTTTGAATTATTAAGAAAAATTAACATTAATGGAAGAACCATCCAATTTGGACACAATACTTAGTATAATTAATTTAAATACTAAGTTTTCTAATTGGATATATTGCCAATATCATTGATTCTTTATAGTTCCACATAGTTAAAGAAGAATGAGAATAAATTCATAAACCTCCTTTAAAGATTTCATTATAACCAAAAACTTATTTATTTTTTAGAGTCACTAGCATTTTACAATTCACATCTAATGGTTTAAATTAATTAATATTTCTTACCAGATAAATTATTGATTGCATTTTTACTATAATTATAACCAAGAAATTGTTTAGGATAACTTTTATACTTAAAAGCTATCAATTATAAACCCTCTGTCTCTTATTATATTAAAGGATTATCTGAAAAACCGAAAAGTATAACAATATAAAATTATTTTGATAATTATAGTCTAATAATGAAGGCCTATAAGAACTATTAAATAATTTTGATATTCTTACTATTAACATAACCATATTAGTTTTGATATTTAAGTTTTGAACTATTTAATAAAAACTTGATTTATTAATATTAGTAGATTTTATTGCTTTATATGAATTGGATTTTATTTTATTTTAACACTAGACTGTCTTATAACCATATGCATTTGTTAAGTACTTCAATACAATTTTAAATCATGTATTATTTTAATGTAAAATTCTACATTTATCTCTTGCAAAATGGGGTCGATCATTTTATAGAAATAAGTAGTTTTGGTTATCTGAATAATAGATTTAAAGTTAATCATTGTAGAATGGACATTTTTAAAGTAGTGAGAAAAGCCAAAAAGGATTGAGATAATGTTATTATTTTGTGTTTTTTTATTTTTTATGTATTATTTTAGATAAATTTTAGTTATATAATAATATAATCTTAATTAATTTAATCAAGATAAATCAAATATCTTTAATAAATTTAAAGTTTTCTGGTTCTCTTACAGCTCTCAATAAGTTTTATCTATATTTGAGATGCCAAGCTGTGTTTGATATTCTTGAATTGTAAACATATGGAACAGCCTAACATTTTAGAAAGTATTGACTATTAATAAACATTTAAAAATACCTAATTATTCTAAACACTTTATTAAATTCAGGATTCCTACCTGTGTCTACCCACAAGTCTCGAAGTTATTTGATATTTGTCATTTGATTCTTTTTATTCTTTAATAAAGTAATGAAACCATCATATTGCTCATTGGTCATGAATTTTTAAATAAGTTCTTTTTCGTTTATGATGTAAGAGATGATGGCTTTTGAAAAGTTTTTGGTAATATTTTTGGTATCGTTGACCTTGGGTCCCTTTTTCTTGCGATTGACTCTGAATGAATCCGAACTCTCTTCGACTGGAATTCTCTTTCTAATGCGTTTTGCTAATTTTTATTCATTTACGTTCTCCTTTGGTTTACTCTAATCATCTTCCTCTTTCTTTACGAACATACTTTAACAAGAGCTAACATCACTTAACCACTTATCTTCTGTATTGAAATGCATCTAGGATTACACTTATTATGGTTATTGTAAAGAGGATGGATTCAACGTGTATGGTTAGGTCATATTGATTTTGTTGATTTTAACCTATTTATCCAAGCTGTTATTTGAAAGGCGTGGCAATTCATTTTGGCATTGCTAATGTAAATAAGGATAGCAAGATTGCATAGGTGAGTTATAGAAGATTGGCATCATCGAAGCGAAAAAACGACTTTGAGATTGCAAGACTTCATGTTGCTTTTACATTGATTTACTATCAAGAGAACTATTTACAAGAGGTCCTACAATTTTTGAATGATTTAACAAGTAATCATTAGTTCCATCCAATGATACTCTTTACGAAATATCGAAGGAAGTGAATGGAAGATTGTAAAATAAGTTTGTTTAAAATGGTTGATCAGTTGACATCTATTAGACCTAAGGGTCTGTTGAAGTTTGAACTTTCATCAGCGGTCTAAACTATCTAAGTGGATCAATAGATGCCTCAACTGAGGGAATATCGGAAGGTTTTGCAATATAAGGTGTAAATGATTTGGCATTCCTTTTGATGCTTTCAGACATAAATAATTCCAAAATTGTGAATTTAATAAATAACAAAGCAAGAAAATAAATAATATATCATATTGTTTAATACCGAGTTTATTTGAGAGCCATAATCTCCTGTTGCAACGAGGCAATATACTTCAACAGTACTCGTTCCCTATTTTTGTAGGAATCCAAAATTAATTTCATCCGATTATGAATTACTTAAAATTATTTTTTGAGTCTTTGATTTTATGGCACCTTTTTCTTTGTAGCATTTGTTTAAGAATCTGCTAAATCAGAGTAATCAAGCGATCTGGTAATCTAATTTGGGTCAATCAATTTTCTATAAATTTTTGATGATTGCTATATAGTAGATTATTGAGAGATAGCAAGTCTGGGCTTCTTTTTATCAATACTCTTAAATCTAAGTATAATAAGTTGATGTTACGGGTTATGCAATAAATACATCGCTTGATTTGGAACTTTTACAGGTCCACTATATAATGACTTGGCCCTTGATTCTGGTACTCTTTCAGATTCGATTGTCTTAAATGCCCATTCTGATATTGTTGCATATCTCTATTTGACCTTGAATCTGATATCATCATCAAAGTTCTTTTTTTTCATCTTTGCTATTAATACTTAAAACAATAAGTATTGAAATAGTTATTATAGTAGTTAATTGAATACATATTGATTTTCATCATCATAATATTGCAGCCATCTCATTAATCAGAACTATTTAGAGTAGTTTCACCAAACTAAATCTCATACATTGAAATAATCAAAATCGACAATCAAAAATATTAATATATAGCAATTGTTCTTTAATTATAAGAATAATGAGTAATTATTTGTTTCAAATGAATTCCTATCTAAAATTTATTATAGTTTATTCAAATTCTGTGAAATTGAGAAATTTATATAATTAAATAATAAATAACATTTTTTTTTTAATTTAATAAATTAGAGGTTTGATATCAGTTCAAAGTGAACTATTTTAAATTATATATGGGTTTATAAATGGAATAATTTTGAATAAAATAAATCTCATTCTTTTCATTTTTGTTTCACTCATATTTTTGATTAATATTAGGATTCTAATAAATTAACTTTTTATTAAAATTCTTCTTGTAAAATTTTCTATTTTTTCAATTAATCTTAATATTTCTTCCTCAAATGTTAATTTTTCCAGTCATCAATTAGAACCGTAATATAACCAGTACCTGCTGAAAAAGATCCAGTGCCTACAGTTGTGCACAACAAGATACCTCTTGTTAATAAAAATTGCCTAGCCAAAGCTGCCAAAGCTTAAACTTCTAATAACGCAAGGGATGTACCACAAGACATTACTCCTGTTATAAGACTTGCAGCATACCCAGCATATTTCCAATTTTAATAATATTATTTAGTATCTTCAATTATTAAAATGATATTTTTAATCTTATTAACAAGATTATCAATTTTAATCTCAAACGGTGCTATTTACTTTATTTTTTAGCAATATTATGATATTTTTAAAATAGATTTCATATCTTCTATGTATTATTGTATGAAAATATCATTCTTTTGTAAATACGGATTACCATTAATCCAGTTTGATAGGTCGTAAAGAATATCTTTACAGTTATTATATGTTATTAAGCTAACCATTTGCTTTGTATTTTTATCTAACAAAATGCTTTAAATTTTTTCTATTTTTTCTTTCTTCATTTCTATACTATCATTACTTTCCAATATATACTCATCTAAATCCTCTAAGAAGAATTTTAGAATACTTTCTAACTTCTATTTAACTTTAGGTATGCAATGTTCATAGAGTGACTAAATTTTAGGATCAAGAACACCCTGAAATTCTGGTGTAAAGGCTTGATTTGATTGAAGTTACTATGATGACATCTCGATAATTTTATCAGTTAAACTACCAACAATAATTTAAATATCTTTTATTTTTGGTTTTTCAAATTCTATACATCTTTTTTCAAATAAATTTTTATAAAAACTATAATTTTCATCCAAATAACCTTTATACACCAACTTCCAATTGTCAAGATATTATTATCTTTATCCTTTCTTTGCTTTTGTTAGAATTATATTTGTCCACTTGTCATAATCTGATACTATGTGATTTTTGTTTTTTAAAAGTTAAGTTATTGGATCAAAAGTATTCTTAATATGGTCAATTGATTATTGAGAAATATCAATTACAAAAAATACAATTATATTTTTTGTTTTTTTGAAATAATTATATAAGCTAATTCTGTGGGCTATTCTCATTAATTCATTACAATTATCATCAAATCCTGGGCAATCGAAAAGGAAAAATTTTTAAGGTATTTTACATTTTTGAATTTATTCCTTGTCTAATATTTCTTCAATACTAAAAACATGTTTTTCATTTTAATCAAAGATTTATTTAAATTCCTCCAATTTGCCGATGTATACTCCATTGATATTTTGAGTTTCACTAACTCCACCTTTACCAATTGCAAATTTTGTTTCCTTTTTATTTCCATAGCATTTTTATCCTACAAAGTCTTCTTAAATAATGTTATCTGGATTAAGAAGTGAATTAATAATGGTTGATTTTCCTACTTTTGTTATACCAATAAAATAGATTGCGTTTTCAATTTTATTTTATGGTCCATCTTATATTCTTGAAGTGATATATTTTAGCTCATATAACGTATTTTCTAAAGTATCATTACAATTGGAAGACCATTATTTAAGATTTAATGTTAGTTTTTATACTTCAAATATTTTCTCATTTTTGAATATGTTATTATGATATTTTTAGAAAAATTTAATTATTTCATTAAGTTTATAAATCACCTCATCACTAAGTAAGGGTTAAATTTTTAATTCTTAAATTTTAACTTCTTCCTTAAATTGTACCATTTAAGGACTTAATTAATTTTGTTATCTCTTATTTATATCTTAAGCATTTTGCCCTTAATTCACTTTATTAATAAAATTGTAAACCTAGACAATTTGTGAAGCATCATCTTTTAGAGAATTCTTTTCCTCCATAAAACCTGCTTATAATTCTTTTAAATAATTTTCAACCTCCTCCACAACTGCAAAATTATTTTTGATGATTGGCATTTATTATAAGTGAAGGAGGATTATTTAAAATTATTTAAGATCTTCATTAATCTATTCCTTTAAAAACCTTTATTGTATTTATAAATATGTCATCATTTATCCATAGTTAATCTAATCATCGGATTTAACTTTCTTTGCCTTTGTGTAATTACTAGATTTAAATATTGTCTTCAAAATTTCATTATCACGATAAGTTTAAATTTACAATTATTTATCCTTTTAAAAATAAGAAAATAATGCAAACTATTTTGAAAATTAGTGATAATCCCATTTATCATCTTGTTGATATCTTAAAAAGAAAAATTATTTTTCTTTAAAATAGAAAGATCCGAAGTAAAAAATCGAATCTTTAACAATATTATCTAATTTTCCCCTATCATCATCTCCTGTTAATTATGAAATATCTAAAATTAAATAGAAATAACAAGTTTCCATTTTTTTTAATACTAATTCAGCATAAATTTTTGAAATGCATAAATTTTAGGCAATTTTTTCATCATTTTGATCTTCATACGATAATATTGAAGGGAAATATAATAAATAACTTATTTTCCCTTTTTTTTCTATTTTGACCAACTTAAAATAGTCTCCACATAAAAGGACTTCTTTTTTCTCAAAATGACTATAGAAAGAATCAAATTTATTTTCAAAGTACCCTAANAGGAAATATTTTTAAGGTATTTTACATTTTTGAATTTATTCCTTGTCTAATATTTCTTCAATACTAAAAACATGTTTTTCATTTTAATCAAAGATTTAATTAACTTCTTCCCTTTTTCCAATGTATACTCCATAGATATTTTGAGTTTCACTAACTCCACCTTTACCAATTGCAAATTTTGTTTCCTTTTTATTTCCATAACATTTTTATCCTACAAAGTCTTCTTAAATAATGTTATCTGGATTAAGAAGTGAATTAATAATGGTTGATTTTCCTACTTTTGTTATACCAATAAAATAGATTGCGTTTTCAATTTTATTTTATGGTCCATCTTATATTCTTGAAGTGATATATTTTAGCTCATATAACGTATTTTCTAAAGTATCATTACAATTGGAAGACCATTATTTAAGATTTAATGTTAGTTTTTATACTTCAAATATTTTCTCATTTTTGAATATGTTATTATGATATTTTTAGAAAAATTTAATTATTTCATAAAGTTTATAAATCACCTCATCACTAAGTAAGGGTTAAATTTTTAATTCTTAAATTTTAACTTCTTCCTTAAATTGTACCATTTAAGGACTTAATTAATTTTGTTATCTCTTATTTATATCTTAAGCATTTTGCCCTTAATTCACTTTATTAATAAAATTGTAAACCTAGACAATTTGTGAAGCATCATCTTTTAGAGAATTCTTTTCCTCCATAAAACCTGCTTATAATTCTTTTAAATAATTTTCAACCTCCTCCACAACTGCAAAATTATTTTTGATGATTGGCATTTATTATAAGTGAAGGAGGATTATTTAAAATTATTTAAGATCTTCATTAATCTATTCCTTTAAAAACCTTTATTGTATTTATAAATATGTCATCATTTATCCATAGTTAATCTAATCATCGGATTTAACTTTCTTTGCCTTTGTGTAATTACTAGATTTAAATATTGTCTTCAAAATTTCATTATCACGATAAGTTTAAATTTACAATTATTTATCCTTTTAAAAATAAGAAAATAATGCAAACTATTTTGAAAATTAGTGATAATCCCATTTATCATCTTGTTGATATCTTAAAAAGAAAAATTATTTTTCTTTAAAATAGAAAGATCCGAAGTAAAAAATCGAATCTTTAACAATATTATCTAATTTTCCCCTATCATCATCTCCTGTTAATTATGAAATATCTAAAATTAAATAGAAATAACAAGTTTCCATTTTTTTTAATACTAATTCAGCATAAATTTTTGAAATGCATAAATTTTAGGCAATTTTTTCATCATTTTGATCTTCATACGATAATATTGAAGGGAAATATAATAAATAACTTATTTTCCCTTTTTTTTCTATTTTGACCAACTTAAAATAGTCTCCACATAAAAGGACTTCTTTTTTCTCAAAATGACTATAGAAAGAATCAAATTTATTTTCAAAGTACCCTAAAAATATAATAACTTTGCTTTTTTGTGGAATTTAAGGAATATTATCAATTATTGAATTTTGAATTTTATTTATATTGCTATGAATAGTATTGATTTGCTTTGTAATGCTTGTTTACTTCTCTTCATTTGGTTGATATTAATCCATATTATTATAATTAATGAAAAAATTTGGAGATCACTTTCTTTAAATATCAATTTTAGCAATAGTTATATCGAATTCTATCATTTGATTAGAATACAATAAAAGACGTCATTTAGAAAATAATTACAATTATTACAAATAAATTGAATAATAATTTATATAAAATATTGCGTATTTAGTAGCAAATATAAGTATAAATTCATTAACTTTAAAAAGGACTGAATGACCCAGTTATTTCTTAGGATAATACTAGATATTCAATTGTTGTTGAAAATTCATTTCGGAATTTGTTTCCTTTATTCAATTTCTTATATTGACAAATTTTAACTACTAGAAAATACATCTGTGAATTACAAGCTAATTTCGATTAAAATGATACTTTACAATATTATTATTTAAAGAGATTAACATCTCAAATAAACTGATAAATAAGTTATAATAGCAAGATGGAACAATACTATGTACTTAGATGAAGAATTAGCATTTTTTATTAGTAACATTGAATTTAACCATAGAAGGATATTATGATGCACAATCCTTAATTTATTTTACTTCCATCAATCTTAAAGATAGTTAGAACTAATGCATATACAGATGTTGTAATCGAGAATATTTCTAAATGGTTTTTAACTAATGGCTATCTTTCCAAATTATAGCTAATATATTTTGGATATGACCTTTATTCAAATTGTTCTCCACGTGATTGCAATTTAGAGAATATACTTAAAAATGGTGATTCTATTATTATTCTACATTTTGGGTTGAGAAAGCCGACCCAAAAATACTGTGTCTATTGGAATCCTTTAATCCTTAAGGGTAAGCCTTGTAGGTCTTCTTATTAATGGTCTCTAGGAATTATATATTTAGTTAGGACTTAAGGGACATAAATTCTGAATGAAGTTTAAAAGTATATAACTGCATGGTTGAAAGGAGGAAGATTGGATATTGGGTTTTTGATTAACAATAAAAAGCAATCAGTCCAAGATTTAATATCTCCACTCTTGGATCCAGAAAATCCTATAGCTTGGAATGAAATCCATAATCATCCAGCTTTTAGAGAAGATAATGCTTGTAAATTAATTTTGAAGTTTCGATGCAAATTCTATAATTACGAAGTAAAAAGTCAATCTTCATCAAGAACTAATAGTAGAAATGAAAATAGTAATTAAATTAGCATTATGCCTTGTCCTTATGGATTATAGAATCCAAAATTTAGCGAGTAAAATATATATAATCAATCAATTATCACAAAGGTTTGCAATTTATAAAAATCACATCAAGATAAAGAGCGTAATGCTTTGGGCAATTTGTATTCATCTGTATTAAATAGACATACATCCACATCATAAACAAATAGATAGACAATCTAAATAAATATCAGCCCTAATAAGTTTAATCACTAATTAACTCTACAAAAATGTTGCCAAAATCTTTTAAAAAACCTGTGAACCTTGGTTTTAAGCCTTTAAGGAATTAAAATTAAGCTACTAATTAAAATACCGGTTTTGATTCTCATAGATAAACTGGTGATGCTACTATAGAAAATATCATTTAACCATCTTAAAAATAAGATTCTTTAATGAAACTATGAGATTGAGGGTTTCCTCAGTATAAGAAGAAATAATCAGGTTATAATAAAAACAGAGAAATGGCTCAACACATTCATTTTTGCATTTCGAAACTAAATAATTGTAATAAAATTATCAATATTAAGCATTTAAGAATAACAAAGAAATGTAGTAATAAAGCAAAATTTAGAAGGTTGAAGGAGAACAAAAATAAATTAAGATTAACGATTATACAGAATAATAGTAATAACAATAACAATAAGAATAGCAACAACAAAAAAATCAACAGCAACAACAACAATAATAGTAATAATCAAAATTGCAATCTTAACAATAGCAATAATCTTAGCCATTTCTTTATGGAAATTTTAACTTTGATGCTGAAAATCACAAAGAAATAATTTAAATGAATTGCGCATTATTTTAATAAAAATATAATATATCTTTAGAAGCAATCAATTTGATTGGCTAAACAGTAGCAAAATGTTTAACTTTCTTTAATGCATTATAAAATGTTTGGGTAATTCCTCTATTCCTAGTCTTTAAGCGTATGCTTTAATTAAGAAAGTAGGTTGAAAATTTATTATAAGAAAAAGTAAATTCCTTTAATATCAACTATTGGGAAGAGATAACTTAAAGTGCTGAATTTGAAAATTAT